ATCCCATCAAAGGTTCCCAGCTACCCCTGTGAACTATCTGCCAATATTCACACTACCAGCAAGGCTGACTCTGGGGCCGTGGCTGTGGCTGTGGCTGTTGCTGAGCTGTGATTTTGATGTCTCCATAAAAATGTTTGTGGCTTTGGTGTGTGTGGCATAAGTTGGCGTATTTTATACGTTTTTGCTTTTAAGACCAAGTTGTTCTCTGTCTGCGTTTGTGTCTGTTCCCTGTGGCCTGTGGCCTGGTATCGTGGGCGTTACATTTGGAGCAATGCCATTTCGGAGACCGGCCGTGCTTTGGCCAGTCTTCGACTAGTCTAGAACAGCTAAGCTGACTCACGCAAGTTCATAGCTCTATAAATTAATATATTTTATATTTAGCTGATTCGGTTTAATAAGTTTAAGTTTTTTAATTCGATTCTAGAATCATCTTCTAAATCTATATTTTAATATTATTAATTGCTTTTTTTTTTATTAAAAATTTTTAATATGCAATCGTTTCTCTTATGTTTGCATAATAATTTATTCAAGTTACTCAACTTTTCCAATAACTGTAAATGCTTGATTTAAAGCTATAGAATATAATTTAAATGAATTAAATTCCTTTTCATTATCTATATTCATTAATATATGTTTAGCATATTCTTAGTCATTTTTTGGTCTTTCCAAACATTTGATTGGAGCAAAATAAAAAAGTTGAAAAAAAAAAAAAACAGAAATTAAGCTATTATAAATGGAAGTCATGTTCAAAGTATGAAATGAAATAAATAAATTAAAATAATTTACATATTTAGTACCAATAAAAACAATTTGATATTAGCAAATGGCTTAGTCATATTCAAGTCTTTGTCAGGCCAAAAATATTATTACTACAAGCAACAAATACATTTGAATTTGATTTTAATTTGCTGAATAAATTACGGTGGATGTCGAGCAGCTCTTTGATTTCTTTGACCCAAAAATAGGCTGAGCTTTGTATTAGTTTTTTTTTTCGACACACCCCTGAAAATGTTTTAAATTAGAAATTTAAAATTAAGATATTAAATGATTGATTGATAACTTTGGTAGCTCTCTCATTTGATTGACAGAATTTGTCAGTTCCCACAACCCGAACTTAATGTCAGTTTAATTATGCATAGGCACAAGGCAGGCTGAGCGGATCGCAGCGCCCCATCAGTGCGATATGACATCATCAATAAGATCAGCACGCATCAATGGAGCCTCAAGTTTTCAAGTCACGTCTCAGGGCACCAAAAAGCGCGTTGAAGAAGAAGAAGAAAACATATGTTAAATAAAAATCCTATTAAAAGCTTTCAAAGCAAAAACAAAACAAAAGCAAATGTAACACAAAGCACAGGCGTAAATTTATTTTCTTAATGGCAAAACGAATGGCAAATATTCCCCTGCTAGCCCACACGTACCTCCCCCTCGGCGCGAGTGGTGCGTGTCTTTGAACTTTCGCATTTGAGGTTGTTTTGGCGGACCCGAGAAATCGTGCAATTCATTATGGTCCGAATGAAAGAAGGCTAAAAACCTATTGACAGTAATTGCGTTTAATAATACAACGAGTTACCGTTACATTGAATGCCGAGAAGGGCTCAGCTGCCAAGAAGCATTAATCATTGAAGGCAAACTATAAAAATGGCTTAAATATTGTAGAAAGAGAAGCAGCCAGCCTAAGCGAGCCGAGCCCAGCCGAGCCCAGCCGAGCCCGGCCGCAGCTCAACTTATGTAACACTTAAATTTTATGCGAACCATAAATAAATATTCTGCTTGTGGTCGGGATGTCCCGGCGAGCCGAGAATGTACTCGGTGGATGCTGCTAGCCAGCAGCTGTTTTATGCATCGATTAATCTAATTAAGATGTCATAAACATTTGCTCTGGCATAAACAGTGGCAAGTTTGTGTCCTAAGTCTTTTGTTTGGCATTCGAATAAAYTACAATCGAAATTGTGGCCTATAATTAAGGTCGTTGTTGGTTATTCATTGAATTTATGACTAACAATATTTGTAATTTGATGAGTGCTTCGTATACCCTGTAAATTTGATAGAGCAACAATACAGTATATCGGATATATGATAGTCTTAGACTTGAACTTTGCGGAACTTATGGAACATTAATGCTAGTTCTACAATATAATATAAGTCAATGACTCTAAGGTATCCGGCAGTCTGGCATTCTTGATTGCTTAGATCAGAGGCGGTCAGCTGAGCGCCTGCAGCCGCTTCTAATGCCCAGTGAGCGGCGCTTTTTGTTCTGTGACGCAAGTACTACGGCTGATTCGTATATTTTTGCCAAGTCTGTGAACTGTAGCGAGATATGTGGACTCAAGGCAAGCCACTTGGAAGCTAGCAGTGCTTGGCGCTGCACAGTGATTTAATATAATTTAATTTTCGACGACTGCGTTTTCTCATATGCAAATTGTATTTGGCCAAAAACTCGTTTGCCATTTGCATTAGCCTTTTGTTTAATTTGTTGTATTTCATTCGATTTTTTGTTGTTGCTGTTTCTGTTTTTTTTTTGTTTGCTGACATTTAAAACGTGAAAAGCAACTGGATTCAAGGCATAAGGCAGTTCTACATGTAGTCACCTTTTGTTGGCACCCACTCAATACAGTTTTTGTAACTGTAAATATTGAGTGCGCAGCGATTGCATCATTCGGTAATTTCACAGATTCATGAAATGTCTCGCTGCTCGAGTTTCCTTTTAGCGCGTTATTGTATATATTCGAGTATTTTTACAAGCGACAAGTTACCAAAAATAGTCAATTGTTCGCTTTGGGGCATTTCGGCTTTGGCTTATTTTGATTATTTATTGACAGTTGTCCGTTATGTGCAGCTGAAGAAGAAAAAACGTTTCGTAAATGCCAAATGCCTCGCCGGACCCAGCCCCAATCGACGGCAGCTTTCACTTCACTTCACTTCACTCAAGCTGTTGCAGTTGCAGTTGTTTATTTATTTATTTATTGATTTACCTTATTTATTTGTGTATGTGGAGTGCGGAGTTGAATTTGCCACACTTTGAATTTGTGGCAAGTCAAGTTCGTGTCTTGAGTCTTTCGTTGCGCTCGTGCTCAACTGTTGGCCCATGGCCCCCGATCGCCCGGTTCACCCGTTCACCCGTTCGCCCGTTAGCCCGCTCAGCCCTCGCATTGACGGGGCGTATGGTAATAATCATTTTGCACGGTCCGTCCGGCCTGTCCATTCGCCCATCCGTCTGCTCGTCCCCCTGCCAACGTTGTTGGCGGCACGAAACTTTGTAGGTAAATTGCGCTTAATGATTATGTTCAACGAGCTTTACAATAAATATATTGCTGGTCCAGGGCATGAGCCGCTTGCCCGCACATGGACACCAAAAATAGCAACGCGCTTCGAAGGTGGCGGAATTTATGTCTCTCTCGAGACACCAACGGAGGCTCGCTGCGCCTCCTCAAAATGACTTTAATTCAATTAGGAGCTGCTGCAATTTACGACCCTCTCGCAGCATCTGCGTAATAGATTTATTTTTAAGACCCCATCGGAAAATTACTCAATATTAGGTCGATTGTTCGTGCAAGTGCCACGTTAACCTCTATTATTCAATACACGTATATACACGTATATAT